TAGCAAGACAAGCAATGTAGTTCTGGCAAACGGACACAAATATCTGCATTGAATTTGTCGTTTATCCCACAAAATAACCTGAACAAGACCCAGCATTTGTCTGAGAAAAAGCCTCAAATCTGAGATAAGAATTTTGCCCCCTACAACCTATTGTGCCCGTACTTCCTCCTACGACAGAGCACACCAGTCACTAGAAGGCAGGATACACTGTACTTCTTAAGATGTAGGTCAGAGAATTAAGAAGGATTCCTCCTGTAAGGACAAAGATGGAAATATGAATGCTAATGACCTGCATTCATCAATCACTCAGCGAAGAAATTATATGTAGGCCATAAAGTCCCTATTTACCATCAGATTAGATACTGGCTACTGGCTTTCTTATATAAGGAACACCAGAATGAAGTCATTGCACGGCATTGTATGAACACGGCGAAACTGAGACAGCGCAGTTCTCTACCAATATGAAGAAATGTCTCCTACCCTTAAGAAAACCCCCCAAATTCCATTTTAGTAGTAGAAACTTGATACTTGACCTGTACAGCAATGTTCTGAGAAAGCTTCAGGGAAGAGCTATCCTGATCATCATCCTGATCCACTCTGACTCCTTCAACCCCATTTGCTGGAGGCACCACAGGTCGGAAATCCAAGCCTGTGTCCCTGCTACCTTCCTTTGGGATGGAGGCTTGTGGGGATTTCTCTTCAGAGCAATTCCCGGAGGCAAGCTGCTGTGTATGGCACCCTGCCTTAAGAGACCGAGTGACTGGATGGAGGCTCTCCTGGAGGCTCGTGTCCCCCTCCTCTCCTGCTGTGCTGGCCAAGTCCTTCAAATCAGACTGAGACCCACTGCCAGAAAGACAAAGGGCTGTGGCTATCAAGTTTTCTCCTAAAACCTCCTGGTGCGCTGCTGAAGTGTCACCTGCTGATGAACCAGGATTCTGCTCTGGGTGTTCCAAATGCACATTTCTGTTATTCTCCTTGGTTATCGTTTGGCTACTTACACTCGACGGAGGCGAGTTCTTCTGCTTCTCTGCAGGGTCTTTGGGGCTATCAAAAACAAAAGATAAAAAGTTTCTGGGCTGGGGGTGTCGCTCAGTGGTAAAGCACTTACCAAGATGTGTAAGGCCCTGGGTGTGATTCTGAGCACCACCACCACCAAAAAAACAGTTTGTCTCACCCAGTCTTAGAGACGATTAAGACAGTAGTTTCAACATTACCTTGAAAAACAAAACTAGACTATACAAAACCTCCCGGTTACCAGAGTGAAAGGAAACTTAGTTTCTATTCCACACGCAGGTGGTCTAGCCTGTGGGTGAGAAGCTAGCGTGTGGAGACAATCCACAGTACGTGCCCAAACATAAGTGATCCTGAAAATACAAGAAATTCTGGGCCAATCTGAGTAAGCTTTGCAGACACAGATACAATAGCCCAGTGCTTGTTAGAATATTTAGTTATGCACCCTGATTTATTATACATATTCTCATAAAAGAAATATTAACTCAAAAATAGTGTTTTTATCACACAAAGCAAGCTTCCTGCAAACTTATTACACAGAGCTTTGACCACAACTACTTTGGTTGTTCTAACAGTTTTCCAGAACATAGCATTACCTCAAGTTGTCTAAAGTGTAATTCTGAATCCTAACCTAAAACCTTCAGTATAGAGTTTATCACAGACAGCAGCAAGTATACCTATATTTAACGTTAGTGGTTATTCTGTCATTTGTCACAGACACACAATGCATTGCTCCCAACCTCCACCCCCCCAGTGCTGGAGATCAAATCCAAGGCCTCGAACACTGTAAGCACATCCTCTCCCTTGAGCTACAGTCAAGCCTTGCAGCCTGTGTATTGTCTCTGCGGTTTGTTGTTGTTGTTTTCAGTACAAAAGATTGAACCTAGGGCCTTTACACTGAGCTATATTCCTGGCCCTCTTTATTTTTTATATTGAGACAGGGTCTTGCTAACTTGCCCAGGCTGGGACTGAACTTGTGACTCTCCTGCCTCAGTGTTCCAGAGTTGTGGGATTATAGGTGTGCAGCCCCACCTTCAGCTCAAAGTACTGTTCTTTTTTTTTTTTTTTTTTTGGTACCAGAAATCAAGCTCAGGACCTTGCACTTGCCAGGCAGGTACTGTGCCGCTCAGCTATATCCCTGGCCCTAGGTACTGTTTTTTCTATTTTTTTTTTTTTTTTGAGGTACCTGGGATCGAACTCATAACCTTGCACTTGCCAGGCAGGTGTTTCTGCCACTGAGCTATATCCCCAGCCCCTAGGTACTGTTTTTTAAAGAGATCTTTAAAACATTTTACAATGACATTCAATATTCACAGCGATAAGTCTTTTACCTAAGAATTAAATCTATGTTAAATTTCTTTGCCTCTTCTGGCTGGGCACGGTGGTGCACACCTCCTGGTGCTTGGGAGGCTAGGGAGGATTGCCTCAAGTTTGAGGCCAGCCTGGGCTACAAGGTGAACTCAAGGCCAGCCTGAACCACATAGTGAGACCCTGTCAAAAAAAAAAAAAAAAAAAAATTTCTTTGCCTCCCCATTTTTAAAAAACTGATTCTGTCAAATGACCCCTTCAACATCCCAAACTACCACTGACTAAGGCTATAAAGCAATGTATTTTTCTTTCCTTGACAGTACTTGTTCAAATTAAAACAACTGAAAGAGTATCCATGATATAGAAATCTTTTATAAATACTTTTATTTAAGCCGGGGGGGGGGGTGGCACACGCCTGTAATCCCAGCACTTGGGAGACTGAGGTAGGAGGATTGTTACGAGTTCAAGACCAGCCTGGGCTACAAAGTGAGTTTAAGGGCCAGCCTGAACAGCATAACGAGACTGTGTCTCAAACTAAACAAATAAATAAATAAATAAACACATACTTTTATTTTATTTTTATTTTTGAGACAGGTTCTTGCTATGTAGTGCAGAATGGGCTTGAACTCCCTTTGTAGCCCAGGCTGGCCTCAAACTCACAGCAATCCTCCTGCCTTAGTCTCCCAAGTGCTGGGATTACAGGTGTGTGCCATATGCCCAGCTTTCTAAATACTCTTAATTGAGTCCTTTTTTGCTGAGAGTTAAGTGGAACACTGGGTTGGTAACTTAATTATAAAGCTGAGTATATATAGTGCCTGGCTTTGGATCCTACCTACCATTTGCTAGCTGTCTGACTCTATCAAATTACTTCACTGTAAAATAGAAATGGTATTACCACAGGATTATCCTGAGGATTACTGAGTTTGAGTACAGTGCCCAGCACACAGTAAATAATAACCCTCAGCTGCAATTATTATAACTAGCAGTACATGGTTTATTATAAAATTAATAAAAGCATAAAAAGCCAAGTTTACAGTTATATATCGCCTTCCCCCACTACCCATTCCCTGACACACACCTCTTCTTTCTAACAAGTATTTATTAAATACTCTGGGTTCAGACAACCCTGACTCCAACACAGCTTGATAATCCTGGGCAAGTTACAAACCTCTCTGTATCTCAGTCTCATCTGTAAATGGGAATAATATTAACACCTACCTCCTGGGGTTGACAGAAGGGTTAAACACGTCAATACATTTGTTAGTAAAGTATTCTCTATTATATAGGTCCCAAGCACTCCCGTCAATTCGGGTCAACATGGCACAAAACAATATATTGGCCACCAGAAGTCAAGTTGGGTAATTATACTTCCTGCCTTCAAGAGTGTGGATGGGGGGGCAAAATGCAGATATAAAGGGCAGGCCATATTAACAAGGCTATCTAGATAGATCCACACACATGTCTGCATTTTTCTATATGCACAGACACACCTCTGTCTATATCTTCATCTGTCTATATAACAAAGTATTGTATAAGTGAATATAACATATTAACACGACCACCAATATACAATCTATGCAGGGCAGGGTGAGGAACCACTTGCATTATTTATGAGTTAACCCTAGTCTGACCTATTTATTCAACAAACATTTAGCACACCTGCTGGACAGCACCCTCCCCCCACCTTTAAAAAGCTTAATCTACTGCAGTGCCACAGAGCCAAAAAGAGGAAACACCCACCTCAAAAGCCCTTTACCCACATGAATCTTCCCCTAAAGAGCCCACACCTTACCTTAGACCTTCTGGGAGGCTTTCATCGGATTTGGAAGCACATAAACTAGAAGAGGATTCCGCAGGACTGGGAGGACTGGCCACGACATCAGCGACCTCAGGCGCAGCCATCGTGCTCTGTATATTCAGAAACAAAATACAGACTGCAAGTTTCAAAACTTTAAATCAAATGTATCTTTCCCCCTCAAAATGTCCACACAACAGCACTGTTCTAAGAGACAAAAAGAAAAGCTTGGGCTCCAGGAGGAAAAAAAAAAAAAAAGTATTCTGCAGAAAGGTAGTAAAAGAACCACGGCATGCAATAGGTCCCAGTGGGTACCAATCCTCAAAAGTCACTGTATTTATATAAATACCTAAGCGTCTGTGCAAAGCTTGTTTTCGCTTTTGGCAAAAATAGTTACTTAAAACAGATCATAATCTGGGAGAATGTTCCGAATGGTTCACAAATCTACCTTGTCTACAATTATTTACAAAACATGTATTTTGGGGCCTAGAATAAACATGGTAGGTTTCTACGTCATTGTATACGACGTAGGTGTTATATTCAAAGCAGCCTCCATTAATTTAAGTTTTATGGAGGTGGCTGCAGAGCAAGCAACACAATCCTGGGCAACCCCAATATGTACCTTTTCCTCACTGCGCGCCCTCCCCACAGAAGGGAAAAGAGTGATACCCACAGCCTGGGCCAAATACCTCTTCTAAATTACCACTCTCGTGCAAAAAAGAATGAGACCTGGTTACTCTCGCATGAGAATGAGAATCCGAAAAACAGGTAATTTAAGCAAGGGAACCTAGGAAGATACTGTCTTTCGGTTTCTTTTAAATCAAAAGGTCATCGTTTTTGCTGCAGGACAAACTCATGGCCTTTTACGGTTAGGAGAAAGAAAAACCTGAAGGTGCGAAGCGAACGGAGGCTGTTTCCATTACTGTTTTTATTCTGACAGCATCATCAGGGTACGCTGTGCATGGAGGTTGCGCAGAGAAAATAAAAGACCATAGACCAGGCGGCGTCAACACTTCAGTCGCAGCCCCTCGCCTCGGTTTCCCTCACTACACCACGCTCCTAGGCAACAATGAACCTCTATCATCGTTACTGCTCAAGGGCAAACTGTCCGCCTCCAACACAGTCCAGGGTCGGGGACATCGGTGCGCGTAAACGAAAGCACAGATCAAGGATCACACACACACAACTCCGTAGCTGGGTGCAGCTGCGGGGTGGGGGGTCGCTGCGGACAGGAACATCTGGCTGGGGGGTCGAGTGTGCCCAAGGGAACCCCGCAACCCGGCAGCAGCCTCCACCGCGGCAGCGACGCGGGCAGAGACGGGTCCTCCGGCGGAACGGCGGACGGACTTCGGGGACAATGGGGGACGCACCGCAGGGCGGTCACGACCACCCGCACGGGGACAGCTACCCTGGCCGCTCGCCCCGATCTGATCCCCCTCCCCGCCTGCCCCTCGGGCCCGCACCCCGCTCCTAGCCCTCGTCCCACTTCCAGGCCAGGCCCCCTGCGCCAGTCCTCGCAGCCCCTTCCAAGCCCCCACCACGACCCCCGCCCCGGCCCGCACACCGCGGCCCCGCAAGCCCCCTCCTCGCGCGCGGCCC